AGTCAGACAGCCCCTGGGCTGCGGAGGACGATGAAAGGCTCAGGGAAGGAGAACACTCACTGGAGCAGAGGGAAACCATCCCAGTCGGGCCCCTCCTTGCAGAGGATGTTGTGGTCTCCTCTCGCACTGAGGGTCCTCTCCGGGGAGGGAGCTCCCGTCCTTAGGAAAAGGCAGGTGTTCATAGTGGGGGGATTCAAGCATTAGAAACATAGATAGCTGGGTACGGAGGAGCACATGGGTCAGACAGACATCTCTTAAAGAGGGTCTATTAATAGAGATGTTCTATGTTCTAGTCAGGAGGAGAGGATAGAAGTATAAGTCGCATCAGATGAGACGCAATCAATTGAAAGAGTTGAACACATCAGGGAATGGCAGACAGATAAACAGTGACCAATTTTTAAAGTACTTATACACAAATGCTCGAAGTCTAAATAGTAAAATGGGTGAACTGGAGTGTCTAGTTTTAAAGGAGAATATGTATATAACAGGCATCACGGAAACTTGGTGGGATGAGGACAATCAATGGGACACAGTCATACCAGTGTACAAAAATATATCAGAAGGACAGAACAAATCATGTAGAATCAAATGAAGTAAAAACCTTAAATAAGCCTAAATGTTCCAAGGAATCTCTATGAATAGTAATTCCATACTCCAATAATAAGTATATAACAGTAGGGATATATTATCGACCACCTGATTAGGACAGTGATAGTGACTATGAAATGCTCAGGGAGATTAGAGAGGCTATCAAAAAAATTCAATAATAGTGGAAGATTTCAACTATCCCCATATTGACTGGGCACACATCAACTCAGGACGGGATGCAAAGATAAAATTTCCTGATACCTTAAATGACTGCTTCTTGGAGCAGCTGGTTCTGGAACCCACAAGGGGAGAGGATATTTTTGATTTAATCCTAAGTGGAGCACAGGATCTGGTTCAAGAGGTAAATATAACTGGACCGCTTGGAAATAGTGACCATAATGTAATTATATTTTCCCATCACAGGAATGTTAACACACCTCAGCAGCCCAACACCACAGCATTTAATTTCAGAAAGGGGAACTACACAAAAATGAAGAAGATAAACAGAAATTAAAAAGTAAAGTGACAAAAGTAAAATCTCAGCAAGGTGCATGGAAACTTTTCAAAGACACCATAATAGAGGCCCAACTTAAATGTATACCCCAAATTAAAACACATGGAACCAAAGGAGTGCCACCGTGGCTTAACCACCAAGTAAAACAAGCAGTGACATATAATAAAACATCTTTTAAAAAAATGGAAGTCAGATCCTAGTGAAGAAAATAGAAAGGAGCATAAACTTTGTCAAATTAAGTGTAAAAATATACTAAGAAAAGCCAAAAAGGACTTTAAAGAGCAGCTAGCCAAAAACTCAAGAAGTAATTGTAAAAAGTTTAAGTACATGAGAAGCAGCTAAACGGTAACTAGCGTGGCCCTTGGATGATTGAGATGTTAAAGGAGCACTCAAAGATGATAAAGTCATAGTGGAGACGCTAAATTAATTATTTGCAACAGTCTTCACACCTGAGAATATTGGGGAGATTCCCAAACCTGAGCCATTCTTTATAGGTGACACATCTGAGGAATTGTGCCCGATTGAGGTGTCATTAGAGCAGGTTTTGGAACAAACTGATAAACTTAACAGTAACAAGTCACCGGGACCAGATAGCATTCACCAAGAATGCTGAAAGAACTCCAATGGGAAACTGCGAAACTATTAACTGTGGTTTGTAACCTATCCTTTAAATCAGCTTCTGTACCTATTGACTGGAAGACAGCTAACTATTTAAAAAGGGCTCTAGAGGTGATCCTGGCAATTACAGACCAGTAAGTATAACGCCAGTAACTAGGCAAATTAGTTGAAACTATAGTAAAGAATAAAACGGTCAGTCATATGGATGAACATAACTTGTTGGGGGAAAAAAAAATCAACATGATTTCTGAGAAGGGATATCCTACCTTACTAATCTGCTACAGTTCTTTGGGGAAGGGGGGGGAGGGTCAAACAAACATATGGACAAGCGGGATCCTGTGGATATAGTATACTTAGATTTCCAGAAAGCCTTTGACAAGGTCCCTCACCAAAGGCTCTAAGTAAAGTAAGTTGCCATGGGATAAGAGGGAAGGTCCTTTCATGGATTGATAACTGGTTAAAAGACAGGAAACAAAGGGTAGGAATAAATGGTCAGTTTTCCGAGTGGAGAGAGATAACTAGTGGGGTCCCCCAAGGGCCTGTCCTGGCACCAATCCTATTTAACTTATTCAAAAATGATCTAGAGAAAGGAGTAAACAGTGAGGTGGAAAACTGCAAATGATCCCAAACTGCTCAAGGTAGTTAAGACCAAAGCAGACTGTGAAGAGCTTCAACAAGATCTCACCAAACTGAATGATTGGGCAACAAAATGGGAAATGAAATTTAATGTTGATAAATGTAAAGTCATGTACATTGGTAAAAATAATCCCAACTATACGGACAATACGATGATTCTATGAAAAGCCAGCTCCCCTCAGCACCATCTGCAGGGTTCCAGCTGACCACCCCCACCCTGCACTGTTGGAGGGGGGAAGGGAAGGGCACGGGAGCAAGCCCAGCTTAGCCCCAGCTCACGCCAAATCCAGGACCTACCCCCACTGCACCTCTGCAGTTTAAATGTAGTAGGGGCTGGGCTACATTTAAACTGAAGAGCCACAGCAGTAAAAACGGTTATCAACTACACAATTAGTGAATTCCCCGCCTCTTCACTCAAGACAACTATTTCCAAAAGAGCAGCTCAACCCCCTCCTCCCTCACACAGCACCCTAGTGACTGTCACAAGCTCCGGGGAGTTAGCCCAGATCCACTCGCACCCAGCCCGGGCCGAGACCCTTGCATCTGTTATGCATGTTCACATGTCAGCAAAGCCTCCGAAGGGAAAAGGAGGGCAGAGGAAGGATGAAGCAGGAGGGGGAGCTACTGGGAGAAAGACAGCCCTGAGCCTGGACTGACCTTCCGACACCAAAACGTGCCCTGGCCTCGAGGCTCCGGGAGGCGGCAGCAACGGACTGCGCGCTGGGAAGAGGAAGCCCTAGGCCTGGGACAAGCAAGCATGAGAACAGACGTGCCAGGAAGAGTCCATCTCAATAGCAAGGAGAGCTTCCCGGGCTGGCACCAAAGGAATGTGCCTCCCTGGACGGCGATGCAGAGGAAAGGGGGTCCCATCACACTGGGAAGTGTCTCGCCCACTGCTAGGGCATAAGCCATGTAGCCAGCGACGCAGCACACGGGGTAGGAACCTGTCCTGCGCTGGGCTCCAGACCGGGAAGAGCTGGACACGCAACAAACCAACTGGCCTGAAAGCTTCCTCTGGACCAACATGCCTTGTGCTGAACACCCGAGCACAGGCCCAACGGCTGGCGGTGGGAATTCCCTGGGTTCTGTGCTAGTGAGCAAGAGGGCGCCCCGAGGTAACACACAGAAACCTTTGCCCCTCCCAATGGGAGTCTCGCCCACACTTGGGGCTTCTTCCTTGCAGTCGCTGAGTCCCTGGGCCAGGGGAACACCCTTGTCAGAGCATCCTTCACCTCCGACTGGCCCAAGAACACCTGCTGA